GCTAAAGTTCTACCTGACAATAGTTAATTGTTATTGGATCCAATACCGCTATAGGCTCTAGAGGTGGCACACCCCGTTTTTTTGAAGCAGGGAGGTTTTTTTTTTCAATTTAAATGATAATATTGAAAATGGATTATTTTTCAGAATCGTCACTTGGAATTGAGTTATGTTGTTCCAAGTCACCTTTTTAATCCCTAATCAAAAGGAAATGATTCTTTATTTTTTTGTCTGTGAACTAAAAATTCGGATACGAAATTTTGTTGACCGTGGGAAAGGTATAAGAATTTACAAAGTCTGTTAAAATGTGATTATTTGTGATGAAGTATGAGATTGTAGGACTTGTTATAAAATTCGTACCAAGGATTTTTTAATTTTTTTCTATCCTTGAAGTGGAGGTTGTCTAAGTTAGGTACTAGTCATTGACATTTAAAGTAGTGGAATTGTGGTAGATATTGACAAATTCAAGCTGTGAAGTGTAGTTTTGGAGACGAGTTGAGCGAAAGTTAATTTTGTCTGTGAACTAGAAATTCGGATAAGGAATTCTATTGATCGAGGGGGAGGTATGCGGCATTTCTCGAGTCCCGTGATTCTTGCAAGGTCGATTTTATCAACTTATACTATCTTAAATTATTTTTTGGATGAATTGTTACATGCTACAATTTGTCAATATTTTATTGTTGAACTTTTATTGGTCTCAACCTAGATGCATAAAGTGCATTTCTGGATTTTGACATTTAGAGGCATAAATGTGTTTTCACATCTCGCTTAATAATTTTGTTTAGTATGTCTTATTTTAAATTAATGAAACTTAATTATGTATTTTTGGACAAGATATTTCACTGCATCCTTGAGTTTCTTTTAATTGTCTCAAAAATTATACGCAACCATATTTTTTATTGAAACAAATATTTTAACGTGCCTAAAAGTAGGTCTAATGTTAAAATCAAATATTCATTCCGTCTAACGAAAGTCAAATAACCTAAATAAATCTAAACTTCTAGGATACAATATAAAATTTTGGATCATTTTATATTTTTAAATTTATTTAGCTTAAAATTAACGTCAAAATTAAGCATACACATTGAAATTTCTTACAAATCCAACAAAACAGTGACGAATTGCTAAAATAAATCTTATTTTTTGTTTGATAAAATAAAAGTGATGCTAATTTTTTGAGCCTAATAATTCATATTGTATCGTTATTGGCATCTAAATCAAGACAAGAATACCACCATGACCCGTTCATTTTAAAGAAATAATAACTAACAAATAATAATAATAATAATAATCATAAATAAAAGTAATCACCAATTAGTGTTATCTTCATTCATTAAATAGAGATATAACGTTTAATTCAATGTTCATTTCAAACAAAATTATAAGACATTAGACTTACTATATAATTACATCAAATTCCATAGATAAGTTAAAGTTGAACCTCAAATGAAGAATATATGTACTGTAAAATTTTGACTGAGGATCGATTATTACACCTACAAGTATTTTTTTGGTAAGTTTGATGGAGTGATATATGTATTGGGTTGGTATGGAAAATAGTGATAAAGGAGAAAAAGATGTGAATGTTTTAGTGATTTTTTGAAAGAAGAATAAAATATCATGCGAGTATTTTTTATTTGTTCTCTGCGTGAGTTTTGATTGTTTTTTTTTTTTTTTTTTTTTCTTTTTGATTTTTTGAAAGAAGAATAAAATATCATGCGAGTATTTTTTATTTGTTCTCTGCGTGAGTTTTGATTGTTTTTTTTTTTTTGGTGTTGCTTTTTTCTTTTCTCTGCGTGCGTGAGTTTTTTTTCCATGTGGGAATATGGGTATGTATGTCTGCTTGAGTGGTGTGTAAGGTGAGTGGGGTAGAGTGTAGGTGGAGAAAAATGAGTATAATGGGGTAGGAAAAATGGGTGTGTGGGTAGTTTAGGTTGGTGAATTTTTTAATTAAATACATATATAAATAATAATAATAATAATATTAATAAATTATTAGCTAACTATTTAAACTAATAAAAATATATAAAAATTGAAATAGTAGCTAATCTAAAAATAAGAAATACGCGCTTATTTATTAAATCTAAATTACATAAAAACATATATTTAGTTTTTTTTAAATAAACTGAAAACAAAATTTATCTTAAATGTGACTCATTTTTTTGTTGTTTTAAACTTTTTAAAAATAAACTTAATAAAGTGAGATAAAAATTAAAATATTTAATTTAGGTTTAAAACAAATACTTAAGCTCTAAAAACAGTGTAAATCGACAAGTTTGGTAAAAATTTATGTTTCTACAAGAGGTATTTACAAAGACTGCTAAAATGTGGCTGTCATCAATAGTTGCCTCTAACAAAAATTCACGATATTAATTAATTATTTTTAGTATAGTGAGAGATTATATTTTAAAATATAAATGAGGATAAAATAGTTTAAAACATATTTTAATTAATATTTTTTTTTAAAAAGCGTGTTAAGTAAAAGTAGAGATAATTTGAAACGAATCCCGGGATACGGGGATAGTAAGTAGTACTTTGGTTTAATGAGTACGTGGAAACCACAATTATGATTATAATTTAAAGAAAATTTGGTATTATATCGTTTTATATATGTTTGAGAGTTGAGAGATCTGAAATAAGAATTTACAAAAGATACTAGTATTTAGGGTGTACAAAATCGAACCAAATCACAAATTGAGTCAAATCGAAAAAAAACCCGACTAGTGGTTTGGCATTGAAAAAAAAAATCCGACTAGTTTTGGGTTGGTTTGGTTTTAACTAAAAAAACCAACCCGAGACCAAACCAACCCGACATTATATATGTAACTTTAAAATTTTATTTTATACATAAAAATATTTACTTTGATATAATTTTAAAATATTTCTTATACTATTTCATAGTTTTTATCTTTTAATATATTATTTCAAGTTTTAAACTTATAATTCGGAATGATCCAATAAAGATTATAGTTCATAGATGTTGATAATTATAATAAAACTTAAATCAAAATCAAATTAATACTAATGCAAAAAGAAAATCAATTCAACA